TCTATACAAAATATCTAATTAAATTCCATAATTGCTCTACCTACCGCACAGAAAATACTAAGACTTGTGTACTAATACATTCTTGGTACCAACGACATGAGATAGCCAGTACACATTATGACGTCATATTATGACGTCATCGACCTGTACTACACGAGTTTATAAAATACATCAAGAAAATTGCTTCGGCGCAAGGGCATACCTTAGTTTGTTTTACAGAAACGTCAAAAGACGCAGGATATTCCAAGGATTTAAGATAATGCTGCACAAATGTCGACAGTGCAATTGGTTACTTACTATTTGTGCAGTTTTAAGTTTAACAGGGTAAAAATTCACTGTCCAGGGTAAGTTTTCTAATTTTTTTTTCAATTGAGAAAGTGCATAGGATTTGTGCAGCAATTTTATTAATTTTAAGAATATTCACCTTAATATTATACATTGTTTATTTTAAATTAGATAGGATAGGCCCTTGCGCCGACGTGATTTTGTTTATTTGATTTAATACCTTGAATGGGAGAGAACAATGACGTCATAATATGACGTCAAAATGTGCACTTGCATTAATATACTGTGGGTACTGAGTATGTATCAGAAAATTAATTTGAACTTTCTCTGTACATATAATATACAAATTTTGAATTTTCATTAGCTTATTTGCATAAAAATATCCATATTTAGCCTTAACCCACTTGCGTGGTGGAGTTGTCAATTCAGGATTCTACAATGAAAGTGAAATATTGAAACAAATATAAGTATTCATTGAAGAATTTTTTGTCAAAAGAAGTCGGGTCATGTTATGCATAAAATGGCCCTGTAAAAATACCAATTAATTGATCAACACTTGATTTTCTATTTGAAGCATTAAAATAAAATAGAGACTTGGTGCTTTCATATCCTATTAAAAAAATTTCTCCACAAAGTCCGGGTCTAGGAGAACTGGCTTCATGAAATTTCAATGTTCTTGAATTTTTAGGTAAACAGGTATAATTGAGTACTTTCAGTGAAGAAAAATAATATGAGCGCACCCTCTGATCTAAAAAATAAAGCATGTCCATGAATCCTCAGAAACAGTTCTATCATTTACTAGTTGCATATTTTAGATCAGAGGTTGCGCTCTATATCAAATATCAAAATTGACCGTTTTTGTAAACTTTTTCTGAATATGAGGAAATTGACGCATTTCGTGACGTCATAAAGCATTGACTAGCCAGAAAATGACGTCATTCTTTATAGGATCGGAGTCACCAAAGATCTAAGTGATATTTTAATGCATTGTTATTTAAAAGTATGCAGTTTCAGTTTTTCAGAAATTTACAGGGCCAAATAAGACAAAAGTGAGCCTTGTTCTTTATGCATGCTATAAACAATGCATTGAATGTCAAATGCAAAATACTACTTTGTGAAAATTAGTTTTTCACTTACAAGAACTGGTGTTTTAATCAGGTTGTTAACAATGCATTGAATAGCATATCTTAAATATCATTTTCAGATAGTAAGAATGGTGGTAAGTTTATTATTTAAACGAGTTGAAGTAGGGAGAACATCAAATGTGGATAGTGGAGTCCGAGAAGCACTGTCATCCTGCTGAAATGATGATAAGTAATACATTTATGTACAGCAAATTTTCAATAGGGAATTAAGTGATTCCTGTAGATTGGCGACTTTCCCAAATTGTAGCAGTTTGTTAACATTGCATTGAATAGCATATGCAAAATACTATTTTGTGGTACTATAGTAGTCAGAAATTGAGAGACCTTTATTACTTACATGTGTTGTAGTACGGAGGGCATCAGCTGTGGAGGTTTGCATAGATGGTGCACTATCAGCTGTCTGAAATGAAATTAATAACACAATTGCAAGTACATTCACATATTATATAGTGAGCAAGTTAATGTTGCAGATGCATGACTTTCAACGCCCCCCCCCCCCCCAAAAAAAAAGAGGATTGCATGAGTAATCGAAAGTCAGGAATTGAGGTATGTTTATTACTTACATGTGTTATAGTGCAGGGGGGGCATCAGCTGTGGATGTCTGCATAGACTTTATACTGTCACCCGTCTGAAATGAAATTAAGTAACACAATTACAAGTACATTCATATATTGCATAGTGAGCAAATTAGTGCTGCAGATGCTTGAACCCCCCCCCCCCCCTAAAAGTAAATTACTGTGGGCATGCACCACTCTGTGGATCCAATAGGGGATTACTAAATGTTATCTTTTGTATCATCGACCTCGTACAACAATTCATCGTTTCAAAGTTTGTTTAACAGTGATCGATTGAAATAAATAAATAAATACATATACTAACGTTTGCACATTTACTGTCATCTATGTACACAACCACAGGTCTTTTTGATTTGATGTTGATGTTCTCACAGGATGGTGCATAAGCAATATATACAACCTGCACTGACGTGTGGGTCAGATCCATTACTGCTGTTGTATCGAAGTATTCAAAATTGAAAGACCTTACGTCCTCGGGTAGCCATCCCGAGTAAAACTCAGAGCCATTTCATCTACATATCTTGTCATTACATACACTAAAATACTGCAAGTTTGCAGCAGCGCAAAATACAGTAAGAAAGCATGATGTGCATCTTCTCTGAAGATACATACACTGAATTAACCACGGATTTTTTCTGTTATTTCCTGATTATGACAACGAGCACACGGCGGGTGTGACCGGTCGGCAGGGGATGCTCACTCCTCCATGGTACCTGATCCCACCTCTGATGTTTCGGAGGTCCGTGTTTGTTCTGCTCTTATTTTGTATTTTTGTTTAATGGACGTTGAGATTGAATACTGTTCGTTATTTCCATATCCTTCTCCATTGCCGAATTGACTTGGTCTAATGTTATTAAATCTTGTACCCGAGCGATATATGCATAAGAGTTCATTAAATCATGTATTCAGCACAATAATGTTTCTAAGCTGACAATATTAAGAATGTTTCATATTTAAAAAAATGAAAATAAAAAAATACAATATTTTTCCACTTTTTCAAATTTAGTCTACAATCGTAACTACTCGCCCATTTTCGTAACAACAACCTTTGTATCGGTTACGGAAACGACGAGTGTGATCCGATTGACTTCGTCAAATGTTATTGAATTTTGAACTCAAGGTTAAAAATATTCCAGAATGAAAAATATTTCTTTGGATGACAGAGAATGTTTTACATCTATTTTTATTTTTCATAAAAAATAATTAGCTGTGTAATATTTAAGTATATTAAATAAATGGGATACTTGGATAATTGAAAACGATTAAGGACATTGATTTTGCACCTACATTGTATTATGAGGAGTAGTAAATATATCTATAAATTAGCAATTTTGATTTAAAGATTTCAAAACAATAGTTGTTGTTCAAATAAGTCTACCTCTCATTCAAATCAGAGAGGAATTACATGTGTACTATGATTTATTCATGTATATTACTTATTACTGTGAAAATATGTAGGAAATCAAAACAATATTTAAATAAAATATAAATGTTATTTATATCATATACTTCATAAAACAAAAGACGATCTCTTCTTAGTGATTGATTACTTTTGACTAATTTTCGACGGGTGTGGAGGTAATCAGTTTTAAAACAATAGATTGTTTCAAGCGGGGGACAAAAGGTCAACACTGATTTACCATTATTTTGTGAAAAAATGTAGAAACAATTTCTAGAAGAAGATGTACAAATTCAAATATGGCAAATCACAGATTCTATTCACACCAGACAGACAAAACAATAGTAGAGGAGCGAAGAAGGAAACGACTCCTCAGAAGAGTCTATAACGTCATCGGACCAAACCATTTGTGGCATATTGACATGAACTAATCCGATAACGATTTGTGATTGTAGGTGGTATTGATGGTTTTAGTAGAATTGTTACGTTTTTTTTTTTATTGTTCTGACAACAAGTCAAACTGTTTTCCATCATTTCCTAGCAGGTGTGAACAAGAGTTCGCAGTGACAAAGGTCTAGAAAATGTTGAGAGTAGCAAAAAGAGGACTTGATGGAATGATTACTGGCAGAAGCACACATAACCAAAGTATAGAAAGGCTTTGTCGTGATGTGTTTGAAGGGGTTTTAGTTTCTTTAACCAGTTGGAGGATATACAGTACCGACCGGACACCATCTAACAAAAAGCGAACCCGATATGCATGTTCGCTCTCTGGGTCCGCTTTTGGTTCGCTAGGGTTGACCCGGAGCGCACTCAACGCAAACCTGAAGCTGACCCTAAGAGCAAACTTTAAAATCAATAGCAGTCCCAAAGAGCGAACGCGCGTTCGGTATTTATTTACAGATTTACAAAATAAACTAAATTTTTTAACTTGGTAATGCCCTTGCAATAATGAAATTTATAGATGACCTCCAAACTACAAGTATAATTGCGAAAGTCATGTGACGTCGACATCACATGACAAGTCTAAATAAAAAAAATCTAAACGTCCCCAACATGTAAATTTAAACCACATTACATTCTTTGGATGTCAGTGAATTCCTAAAAAGAATCGCCCATCATAATAAAGTATGTATTTTTATTTTTAAAGCCATATATGGCGTAACTGATCAAAATAATATATTTTTGAAAAATACAAAATTAAGTAAAGAAATATAGTTAATACATTCAAATTAAAGCTTTTCATATAATTCTGAACACGGAGAACACCTCGTCTCGTCTAAAAATACAATTTTATCTTCTCTGTAATGTGTTATTTAAATCTTTTGTATTTTTTTTCCGATACGGAGAAAATTCCGAGAATCAAATTTAAATTGTGATATCTTTATAAGGCAATTGACTTAGATTTTGTAATTTACGGGAATGTTCTATCTTTATATAAAGTAATGATACAAATAATAAGTTCCAAAAATTTTATTCTAATAATTTTCATTTCACATACGCCATATATGGCTTTAAAAAATCGCCAATATATTTCCATTTGTAACCTTAACTGTGCTGCGATGAGAGTAATACCATAAATTTTGTGTGTACCGGCAATTAAGGTAGAAAGGAATCTTCTTTATTAGCCTTTTGACTGACAATTGCACGCACGGTAACATGTGCTGGGGACCCTGCCTCAAGCCAATCTTTATCTCTTTCCTCTGTTAATGGACCATACTGACATGAACTTCTTCCTCCTGCTCTATACGGCAAAATCCATTCATGCTCATTTACAGCATGATGTATGACTTCAAACCAAATGCCCTGAAAACAAAATTAGTCTTTTTTCACTTTCTATGAACACATTCTGAATCAAAGGGTTTTTCTGTAAACAATTCAAACTGTTCAAGGGGAGATAATTTGTTTTAGGCCCCCTCTAAGCAGTTGAGATGAAGAGAATGATTTCCAGATTGCAACAAAGATGCAATACCTCTACCCAGAATAATCGGCTGCAGACAGAGCTAGACATCATGCTAACCACTTAAGGACAAATAACACAAACGAACTTTTTTTCAGAAGTCGGCATTATTTTTCATAGATTTACATTTATATTGACAACCTGAATAATGTTTACCACGTAGAATGGGAGAATTTTTTAAGATTTTGTAATCAAGTTTAAAAATATGCAAAATTTTGTATGGAATTATATAGAAGACAAAATTAAATCTCAAATCTAAGCACCAAGGAAAATGCCTTTCAAGGGAATCGCTTCTGGATATCTGGTGCTATAATCAACAACAGTTAATATATATCGGTTACCTTTTGCAGTAACTGGTGCCATAGGATCTACCAGATCAACTGCTACTCTCTCAAACAGAGTGTCGATCAAAGGCATCTTCTATAAATGGAACTTTTCCTTTTGGAAAGGTCCGCTGACAAACATCACAGGATTGGCAATATCTTTTGATATCCCCTTGGATTCCTGGCCAGTAGAAGCTTGATGTTATGCGGTCAGCTGTCTTCTTTGTCCCTAAGTGTCCTCCCAGAATACTGTCGTGCGGGATGGTCATCACTTTGCGTCGAAGAGATTCGGGAATAATAACTTGCTTGAATGTTTTATTGTCACTGACCTTGGACGACTGAAAATATCTGTATAATAGTCCCTTGTCCACAGAAAACCACGAAACGATACAATCACCAAAATGTTTCTTCTTACCAGACTTTGCAAGATTTCTGTAGGCAATCAAGGATTCATCCGTCGTCTGCAATTCTTTCATTTTATCCACATTGACATCAATATCTATCGAATCTTTAACCTTAAGTTTCTTCATACCTTTTTCTTCTCTTACTTTCTGACTTCTGGTCTGCACAGCTTGAAGCAAGTGGGTTTCTCTATCTGCCACTTTGCCACAGTGGATCTGGATCAGAATGGTTTCTTACGCCCTCTACATTTCCTATAATGAGATCATACACTGGTTCTTTCATACACAATGCATTTACCTTGCCTACATAGAAAGGAGTATCAACGTCAATGACTGCTTCCTCTACCTGCCGAACTGTACCATCTATCAACACACACTTCTGCACCTTCCCTGTTAACTCGGTATCTTTCACAAGGTCACGTTTAACAACAATTCCACTACAACCACTGTCTCTGAGTACTTTCACATAGCTTTCACCAACATAACCCATTAGTACAGGCATAGCATCACATACCTGACAAGCACCACCCACAACTGGAGAATGTGTCCGCAGGCTAACTTTACCTGACCATTTTCCACGCAGCATTCAATCTGCTTGCATGCCGATCCAACATGAGGCTTCTCCTTTGGACGATGCACACCTTGTTTCGAGTAACAGTCTTTCGCAAGGTGCCCTGTTTGTGACATATGTAACATTTTCTTTCCTTTGTCTGCTGAGGATCAGACTGCCGTTTAGACACCTGATTCTGGTTGCGGTTGCCAAGACCTTTTTGAACCTCACTAGGATATGTTTTCTGGAAAACTTGAACAACTTTCCTGAAGGAAGAATAACCATGTGCTTCAATGAACTGATCCGCAAGATTAGAAATATTTTCTACATTTCCTGTGTGTCTTTCTATTAAAAACATTGCTAAAGATCTGCTACAGCTATTCATAAATTGTTCTCTTAGAACTAAGTCTTTAAGCCCTTCATAAGTCCTGGGACTTTTTGCTAAATTCAACCACTTTTCAACATAGTTATCAATGCGTGCAAAAAATTGCGATGGACTCTCACCTTGGTCTGGTTTTGAAGTACGAAACTTCGAATGAAAACCTTCCTCTGTCAACTGGAATCGCTTAAGTAGTGCCTGCTTCAATGTTCTGTAATTCAAAGCTTGAGATGCCGGTAATCTTGAGTAAACTTCAAGAGCTTTACCCTTTAACAAGGCGCTGAGATTGATGGCCCAAATAGACTCCTCCCACTTTGCGTTAGCTGCAAATCGTTCAAATCTCTGCAAGTACGAATCAATACAGTCTTTACTCTCTTCAAATACAGGTAACTTTGGAAGTTTAGCACGAGAGTTTGAAACCTGAGCCATTGCCTCAGCATTTACAGCAGTTATTTCTGAATTTTTATATTTTTAGCTCTTCTGAGCCAAAGGCTCGAAGAGCTAATGCTAAGGCCATTTGTGCGGTGTGCGTCGTGCGGTGTGCGTTAACTTTTCAGAATATGGGCCATAACTCAAGAACCCTTTGGCCAATCTGTATCAAATTTGTCACAGGGTATCCTTGGCCCAAGGGCTACCATTTATACTAACATAAGGGTTGGGACCCTAAAACAAGGGGAGATAATCAGGAAAACAAAACCAAAAGTACGGTTGCAAAAAAATCTTCTTCTCCAGAACCACCAGGCAGATTTTCACCAAACTTACATACAATGATCAGGATATGTTGAAGATTAAAAATTGTTCAAGGCATGACCCTGGGGCATTTGTTTTCAAATTGATTTGAAGGCATATTTCGGGCACTTTAAGGCCTGCCGCCTATGATCATCAAACTTTGTCAGTTGATGCATCTTGGGTCCTTGAACAACGTCAACCTAAAAGTAGGTCACCCTGACCTACTTTTTGAACTTTATGACTAATTCTTTTTAAAACAATTAATCAAATTATTTCAGACACTGAGAGGTTTAGAATCATCAAATCTTGTAAATTGATGCATCTTGAGACCTTAAAACATTTTTATGAAAAAGTAGGTCACTGTGACCTACTTTTTGTATTTTGCAGGAATTTGTTTAAAAGGCTTATTTTGATTACCTTTAGACGTAGGATCATCAAACTTGGTCAGCAGATGCATCTTGTGACTTCAAAATTTTTTAACCAAAATGTAGGTCACGATGACCTAGTTTCAACATTTTATGGTAATATTTTAGTATCTTAGGTATTTTTTGGCTTAGAATCATCAAACTGTGTGAGTTGATGCATCTTGGGTTTTCGGAGAGTAACAAACAAAAAGTAGGTCACGGTGACCTACATTTGACATTTTTATGGCTTTATTTAAATATCTATGGTAATTATTGGCTTAGAATCATCAAACTTTATGAGTTGATTCGTCTTGAATTTTCGGAGAGTGACAATAAAAAAGTAGGTCATAGTGACCTACTTTTTACATTTTATGGCTTTATTTAAATATATTAGGTATTTTTTGGCTTAGAATCATCAAACTTTGTGAGATGATGCATCTTGGGTTTTCGGAGAATAACGAACAAAAAGTAGGTCACGGTGACCTACTTTTGACATTTTATGGCTTTATTTAAATATCTATGGTAATTATTGGCTGAGAATCATCAAACTTTATGAGTTGATGCGTCTTGGGTTTTCGGAGAGTGACAACCAAAAAGTAGGTCACAGTGACCTACTTTTTACATTTTATAGCTTTATTTAAGTATATTAGGTAATTATTGGCTTAGAATCATCAAACTTTGTGAGATGATGCATCTTGGGTTTTCGGAGAGTGACAACCAAAAAGTAGGTCACAGTGACCTACTTTTTACATTTTATAGTTTTTTTAGTGTCTACAGTACTTATTGGCTCAGAATCATCAAACTTTGTAAGTTGATGCATCTTGGGTTTTCGGAGAATGATGTCCTAAAAGTAGGTCATGGTGACCTAATTTTTTGACATTTTATGGCTTTATTTAAGTATCTGGTAATAACTGGTTTAGATCTACTAAAATTTGTTTGTTGATGCATAATTGGTTGTGAGAAAATATATCTCGGGTTTTCAAAGAATGTAGACAAAAAAGTAGGTCACGATGACCTACTTTTAAATATCTCAAATACTTATTGGCTTAGAATCTTCAATCTTTGTTTATTAATGCATCTTGAGTCCTCAGAAAACTTCAATCTTAATATAGGTTACTGTAATGTACTTATGTTTTTTATAGCTTTATTATTAAAAATATTTTCAGTCCTAATTGGCTAAGAATCATCAAACTTTGTCAGTTGATGCAACTTGGGTCTTAGGATACTCAGGGTTAGAGGCTTCAAATAGAAGTGATAGAGTGTACAATTTATCAGAAGAGCGATTCAAGGCCCTTGGGCCTCTTGTTGCAACTCAGTCTCTCTCTTAATCGTTTCTAACTCCATCTTTCTTTCTATCTTTCTTGCTTCTCTTTCTACTGCTATTTCATCTCTATCAAATTTCTCTTTCTCCTTCTTATCTACAAATTCTCTTTAATCTTCACCTGTTAATCCTAATCTTTCTCCTAACTGAACAAACTCCATGATAAACTAGAACTGTCCAATAGGGAAAATACCCCCGCTGGGTTTTTCAGAGTAGGTGCCAAAGTAGGTGCCAATTCAGAAATATTTTATGGACCTAGTAAGAGGTGTTCACTATTGTCTAATAAAGTGCCCTCCCACAGATGATACGCCCATCAAATATTGTTCGATAATCATAAATTGGTTAGGGTGCAAGAAAATCAAGTAACCTTGATTAACAGATTGACACAGATTTCAATGATCTAATTTCCATTTCTTATCTTGTTTAAAATATTGTACATACATCATCAGAGACTTGCAGTGTAGGGATTAATTAAGACAAATAATACATCATATAATTCTAAACTGGCTGTGTTAGAGCTTAACAAATATCCATCGGCAGCTTTAAATTGTTTATTGCATATTTTATGAAATAATGGAAATGCTATAGTCTAATAAAAAAATCAAAAATTAATTATTCTTTAGACTATAAACTTTTAAGTGAGACATGACTGCAATTTGTTGCAAGTATATAAAAATTGAAATGTAATTTTTTTTCAATGAACACATGTATAATTAATATTAATTATATCACATGTATAAAATACTAATTCAGTTTTAATCATACACTAAAACATCAATTTGTTTTAATTACATTACACCAATTGAAAGATCTTTATCTGAACTACAGCCATCAAGAACTCTTAATTAACATAAGGCCATTTCTTTTTGCCCAACTCCCAAGAGATGTATTAAGATTATAGTGCATGATGCTCTTGCCAGTTAACTCCCGACAATGAACTCATTAATTTCTCTCTAATTTGACATGCACATATCTGCTATCAAATGTTCTCCTTGACCAGTGCTTGATAATTATGCCCATGAGACAAACTGAACTCCTCTCAAATCATTAACATTTGTTACAGAATTTGCTGTAAAGTATAACATAAAAAATAAGTATTTACTTAATTTAGCATTTTTTAATAAGGATACAACCATATTTTTACATTTTTTAGGATTATGAAATTTAAAATTTTAAAGACTTAGTTTTTTTAAAAAATCACTGAAAATTAAAGGTCACAGTGACCTTGAAATAGGTCGGGACACGTCGTCTACCCAAGATGCATAAATTGTCCAAGTTTGATGATTGTAAGTCTAATAGTTTTCTAGTTATGAGCCAAACAAAATCACAAAATAAAAAAGGAAAAACGCCTGTAAAATACAGAAAAATCATCCAATCATGATGAAAATCCCAGGTGCACACCTTCATATGGTGAATAATAAGTGTATAAATTTTCAGACAAATCCATCCAACGGACGGACATGGTGATTCCAATATACCCCCCTAAACTTCGTTTGCGGGGGTATAATAATAGAGTGAGCACTAACAAAATTGCCTCAACACAGGTGCACACACTTCTACAACATGAAGGAAACAAAAGCATCAGTGTAAAAAAAATACATCAAAGGTAACAAAGTAAAACTTCTCTGATGTGAAAAAAAAATACTACACAGAATATAAATTATAACAAATAAGACAACAAATATAATCACTTGATTGAACAAAGATACATAATTCTGTATATCGTTTTTGATGAACGGTGTTGCCATGGTTACTAAAAATAGAAATTTCTGTGAAATTCTTTTAAAATGCTACTCCTCCTACAGTTTTGGTCTGATTTCAATATTACTTGGCACGTAAGTCACGTATTAAAAGATTGAGGGGCAAAGTGAAAACCATCTATCCTTCTGTGTTCAATAAACCAGAAGTGAAAAAAGAATTACATAGATTACACGATCAGTACGTACTGGTTCCTGCCGACAAAGCAGGTAACAACATTGTCTTCGTTTGTAAGGCTCATTATATAAATTGCATTCTAGAAGAACTTGGATTTAATTCTACAAGTGGTAATCCTACTTATACATATACTTCTCTTTCTAAGGAAGAAATTCTTCAGAATCACCTGTCAGTATTGAATACTTTTAATATTCCACAGAGCCAAAATGAATTTGAACTACCTTATATATATTGGATTCCGAAACTTCATAAGAGTCCTTACAAACAAAGATACATTGCAGGTTCCAGTAAATGTTCAACCAAACCTCTTTCGTTACTTCTCACTAAAATATTGACAGTAGTGAAGGAAAAACTTCAAGAGTACTGTTCAACTATATATTCAAGAAGTGGTGTAAATCAGATGTGAACTTTTGGACAATTTAAAATCACAAGACTTTACAAAAATCAACAGCATAAAAACTTACGACTTTTCAACTTTATACACAACAATTCCCCACGACAAATTAAAATCCAGGCTTTTTGATATCATTGACAGTTGCTTCTTCAACAAAAATGGAACTCGTAAGTTTACTTACCTCGTCATTGGTCATTTGAAAAATTATTTTGTTAAAACAGATTCTGATTGTACACATAAGTACTCTGAAGTTGACATCAAGAAGAGTTTCTGATTGACAATATCTATGTGGTTTTTGGAGACCAGGTATTCCAACAATCTATTGGAATTCCCATGGGTACAAATTGCGCTCCGTTATTAGCAGACTTATTTTTATGTTCATATGAAGCAGAATTTATGCAAAATCTTTTACGTGAAAAGAAGAAAACACTTGCTGTGGCGTTCAACTCGACATTTAGATATATCGACGACGTATTGTCTATTAATAATGATAATTTCCATTCCTACGTCGACACGATATATCCTAGTGAGCTTGAAAAAAAAGATACCACAGAGTCCGACACTTCTGCTTCATATTTGGATATTTTACTTGAAAAAGACACTAATGGTAATCTAACAACCAAGCTATATGATAAACGTGATGACT